TTTTTTCTGTTTAGAAAAAAGTGCGCCTTTACGCATGCAATTGTCAAATGCTTGATGCGCTGTAGCCTACTGTATTCGGCTAATGAAATGTACTCTTTCTTTGGATGAAATGCTTCATAATGACTTTTGTTTCCAAGTAATGTTTGAAATCTGATGATTTTTTTTCAACAATTTTCTGCAAAAGTTTGCGCATTTACGCATGCATATTGCCAAATGCTGGATGCGCTGTAGCCTACCGTATTCGGCCAGTGAAATGTTCTCTTTCTTTGGATGAATGCTTCACGAATGACTTTGTTTTTCAAGTAACGTTTCAAATCTGATGATGTTTTTCAACAATTTTCTGCAAAAGTTTGGAAACCCTTTGAGAAAATGACAGCTGCCTTTCACATGAGCTTCGTGAAGTCATGTGCCATGCACTGTATTTGTTATGTATCCTTTTTGAAAAACAGAGTCAGATTTTTCCCTAGGGATACACTGTACGTGTACCGGTAATTACATGCAATATGTACATTCTTCTCTGAACATACACACATATTTAAAAACAAATTTTCCAAAATGCCTTAAAAGACCCCCCTTTGCTGTTTCAGCCTGTTGTATAATGCCAACGACCCCAATCCATCCCACCGAACTTTGCAGGGCATCCTCAAAACACGGCATGCAGCCTGTAGCAAGCCCCAGCATATTCTGGGTCAGTTCATTAAGAAGATGAAAAAAAAGGAAAGCATGAATCCAGAATTCCAGATCAGTGCCCTGGCCCCTTGTCCTCCTTTCCAACAGGCACCCTGCCGAGCACCAGTCTCACGCTCAATTGGTTTCTGTTGGGATTTGGTTGTCCATGTCAATTCCAGTCTGCCACCTTCGTTGGGACTCCCCGCCGCTCAGCGTACCAGATGGGGATTGTAGCCATTATTCTTCCTCTATTAAAAGTTCTTTAGGCAACACCATTGGTGCTGACACCATGGTTTGGTTTTCCCCAAATTCCAAAAAAAATGATAGATTGAATCACAAGGGATTGAAATCTGGCTGGAGGTTTAAAAGGCCTATGCATGTAATTTTTGGAAATACAGTCCTTGAAAATGTACCGTTGCATCCCATTGAACCTTATTTTCAATTTTCGTTTTGCCATTTTTAAGGACATTTTTGGTGCCTTTTTTTTTTTGGTTTTTATGCTGTATACAAATTTCCATATTCATGAGCAAAAGTGTGATGTCAGTTCTACTGGTATTTCTAATCAGTGGTACTTCTATCCATTCAGGGCCTAATTTTCTGGCTCTAGCCCGGTAGTACTCGCGGCAACATTCTGAGCCTTTGAGCCAAATTCTCTTCTTACAAATACAGGTTCAGTCAGCACCAAACCAGTATAACACACAGAATTTTTACAGAATGTACAAGTAATTTTGTATTGTAGTCAAATTTCTTTGCAAACCCACAAAATACAGTGAATGCAGATTTTTCTTGCAGTAGTTATGTACATGTATGTGTAGCAGCAATTTTTTTCTGCGTACTTATAAGCAGAACAGCATGAAATTGATCCCAAGCCAATGTTGTGTGGCCCATATTGATACTGCAGCTGCCACTGAAATTGAATGACATGTTGTTTTGGCACAAATTACAAACAAACCCCGGGCTTCTTCTACCAGGGTATGTGGTTTCACTCGACAAAAATCGAAAAGATTCAGTTGTTCAAAGGCTTAGATTTTTGACATTGAGCTCTCTACTTAAAACTGTATGTGTTGAGAGGACCGCAGTCACCGAATTCGATCCCACCTCAGAGGGTCAGTGCTCTTAAGAACACAATTCCTGGAGAGAAAAAAAAGTAATTTAATTTGTGGCACAAAACCCTCCTTAATAATACTCCCCACAGGGCTTTTGGAATAATCCATCAATTGAAAACTAAGGAGGAGGAATAGAAATTGGAAGGCCCACAACGGGAACATTCAATTGAGCGCTTTATTATATTTATAACGGAGTCTGCTGATCAGACGAGAAAGACCTTTTGCTTGTTGGCGTCCTGCAGGGCTGAGGGCAAAACACCTGCATGCGTGAAATGGACTAGATTTCTCTTTATTCGGCCAGAAACCAGCAAGTCATTCCATGGAAAAGTAGGTTTCTGGTATATCAGGTTGACTTGAGTTTTACTCCCCAGAAAAGGCAAAAGAAATGAGAAATGAAATTGAATTTAATTTTACATATTTTGTACATTCAAGAATTACATGTACATGTACATACAGACATAGAGCTACCTGCACGTGTACTCCGGGACATGTTTAAATTAGGCCTGGGCGAGTAGTGGATTTTCCTACTCGATTACTTGCAGAGAATTTACTTGCGAGTAGTCGAGCACTCGTGAGTAGTTTACTAAATTCCCATAAAAACGGGAAAAAATGGCTTAAACATTACTAAGAAGGAAGTTACTACGAATAAACAGCGTGGAAGATACGCCACATTCTTCAGCACTGAGATATCTGTACTGTGCATATTTTTGGCTCATTTGACTTGAAAACGTATTGGTTGAGAGTTCTAGTGGAATTAATCCCAAGGAAACAGATGGGGGTAGTGATTCCTTAATATTGCGGGGACGTATTAATACAACAGACAAGTTTGGCGCAGAAATGCAAAGTGGTTACTGTTTTCTACATGTATATCAGCACTTGTAAAACAAAATTGCTACTCGTGAGTACCTACTTCTACTCGCGCCAGGACGAGTACTCGATTTGGTGAAAAACCTAGAGTAGAACAATGAGTATAGCAAACACTACTCAGTACGAGTACTCGAGTACTCAGGTTACTCACCCAGCTCTAGAGTGTATGGATGCATTGTGAAATTTCCATTTTAATCATACTCATAGTAAAAACCTTATCGGATAGCTTTGTGTAATGAGCACTTTTCCCTTTCCTATTATTTGTATTAAACATTGTTATGAATTGGAGTTTAGCAGAGCTTTTTAATCTCTAAAAGAAAAAGTGCAGATTTTAACAAATGCTGGTGTTTCTTAAAGATATATAGTCCATCATTTGTAATTTGTGCATTTTGTTCGTTGGAAGCAACAAAAGTGTTCAAAATCTAATGAAGGATACTGAACAACTAACCTGATGAAGTTTCAGCTCAGCTTCAGCTGTATATTCCGAGAAAAACAGCATTCTAGGATCTCAATTTCAAATCAAAAGTTGCTGAATCATGTTTTGAATTGTTTTGAATTGCAGCTTTACGTGATGTCGCGCACTGATCCGACGAATTATAGCAACCGCGCGCGCCTGTGCGTCGTGCCAATGCTTGCGCGCACTGCGCCAAAAAACAAAACAAACTACTAATTTAAATTTTCCTACGGTGCATCGTTGGAAAGGCCTTCTTTCGTTGATTACTTCAAAATGATAGCTTGCCAGAAAGATTAATTTCACAGGGAGTTTAGTCCACTTACTATCTTTCAACCAAGTATGTTTTTCAACAATAATACGCCAGTTACTTTTACGGATGGCTGCAAATGATGGACTATAGCTTTAAGTCATCACGAAGTTAAAGACAAAGCTATTTCTAATTTTAAAAATAAGTTATACATGTACTTTTCTACTTTATTGAACATGGTATAGATAGGTGCATGGGAACACACCTTTTTTTCCCCAGTGATTATGAACATCTGTGGAGTGATGTCCAACAATTTAATGTTGGAAAAAACCACACAGCTGTGGTCTGGTTTGATTTTTTGGGGGTAACAAACCTGTATGTTCCCAGCCCTTTGGGCCTTGGGGAAACTTGTCCAATTAGCAAAGTTGGGCAAAATAATTTGGCTTCTGCTGGGAGAGCAATGGGGGTTAAATGCTGTTGTGGGCCTCGGCCTCTCTACAGATGTGGTAATAATGAACTTTTTAGGTCGGGGGTATTGCCTTCAGACCGGTGTAGACTGCATTGAAGAATTTCATGGCCTCTTTTCATTCCTGTGCTTAAAAAGGAATCTTTGTTAAATAAACAACATTTGATTTTGCTCTAATTTTCAAAAATTGATGGATTTGGGGGCTCGTATTTCATAGCAAAGACTGTTAGGCTACACTGACCTGTTGAAAGTTTTGTGTTCGTACATGTACCGATGCTGGAAAAAAAAACAAGAAAAAAATCTTGTTCTTGTAGTCTGGTTCCCTGACCGCCAATTTATAGACGTCGTGAAATTGTAAGGTCAGGGAACCAGACTAGCTGGCTTGTACCCATTCACAGATGTGTAACCGATTGCAAACAAAATGTGAACTAACTCAATTTTGTAAATTGGGGGCAGTATTTAAAAAAGGTCAGGTTTTTTCCAACAATGATCAGCCGACCGTTGTTGGAAATTGATACGCAATTTCCACCTTTCTTGAAAATGTCAGCACACCAGGTACCACGATTTTACAGGATGCCTTAGGCTGTCATGCACTAACGGTCTAATAAGGTATTTCATAAAAATTTGGTAGTTTTGTTTTTTGATGTTTGCAAATGTTGTATGTTGCCTTTAAAGATGTTTTGTTAGTGCAGTTTTAAAGTTTTGACTGCGAAGTTTTTGTATTAATAGTTATTTATTTTTGAACTCAAGACAAATTGGAAAATTGGACCACATGAAATTTAGTTAATTACTGTACTAGTCTCACATTATTTGCAGCCTGACAATATTTTTTTCTTTGCAGGGTGGGCTGAATACTGCTCCACTATAAGAAATGATAATGTAGGGACCAGAAAACAGTCGACTTGCAGCATTCAGTGTTTTGTTCCTGTGAGAAAGCAACCAAAAATGAAATTCTTTTTGAGAAGGTTGTAGATGCGTCCTCTCCCCCCCCCCCCCCCAAATAAAAAAGTTTGAAGAGCATGGACAGTACATCTTTAACTACAGCATAAACATTTGTAAGCTCTTTAATAGTGTATTTCAGAAGAGCGTCCCCCTAGATCTTGGCATATTTGTTAATACTCTAAGCAGTACAAATAATGCAGATGTTTTAATCTCCTTTTTTTTTCTTTTTTTTTTCTTGGTCAATTTTAGGATTGCCGGCATCTGATGGAGGGCATCCTATCCCAAGCAGTCGGCATAGCCATCCTGCTAGCATTCCGTCTGCATTTTATGGGCAACAAGCCACCCCACTTCGCCCCTTCTGACAACCCAGCGGCCAGCAACGAGAACTTCCAGACAAGACTCTTAACATTCCTCCATCTTCCAGTTTTAAACCTCTGGCTCTTGCTCTGCCCTTACCATCTAAGCTTTGATTGGTCCATGGAAGCAGTGCCCCTGATCGAGTCGCCGGCCGACATCCGAAACTTGTTCACTTTAATATTTTACGGCAGTTTGGCTGCGTTTGCATGGTACTGCTTCCAAGAATTGGAAGACTTATACCACGAACAAGAATCGCTTGACCAAATGAAGTTCAGGACTTCAGATTTTTCAGACTGCTTAGGTAACGGCAGAGCAAACGGAATAGGTAACGGGCACAGTATATCGCGGAACGGAACGAGCGAAAAGAAAAACGGACATGCCGGAAATGGGCACGCGTACATTCCAAGTCCGAGTTTTAACAATAGTAACGGTAATGGCGTCAGACACAATGGCGTCAGACATGAGACCTTGTATTCGCTTCGAAAGCGACAGGGCAACAGCCAGCGGAAAAGTCACCATCACCCACGGACTGTCTCATCAGCAAACAGACCTAATACCGCAGTCCCACCGAGTTTTAATGAGAGGACGCAAATTCTAAACGTGGTCATCGTCAGCATGGTGCTTATGATTCTTCCGTTCCTCCCGGCCACCAACCTCTTCTTCTACGTCGGGTTCGTGATCGCCGAGCGGGTCCTGTACATTCCAAGCATGGGCTTCTGCCTCCTGGTTGCCGAAGCGATCCACCAGCTATGGAGGCGGAGCCCAGGGAGGCAAAAGACGGTTGTCGTGGTGACCGCCGCCACCCTCGTGGTACTGTTTAGCGCGAGGACGTGGCTGAGGAACTTTGACTGGCAGTCGGAGGAGGCCCTCTATAGATCAGGAATTGATGTCAACCCTCCAAAAGGTAGTAAATTGAATTCCAGATTTCATCTCAAAAAGAAATTTGGTTGCCTTCTCCATAGTTTCCATAATTTTTAAACTTACAGATATGTGCGGTCTTCTCTTTTCTTGTAGTACTCATAGCTTTTTCACTGAGTTCCACTTTTTGTCTTTCCCTCTGATTAGGGAACTTAATAAACTTTTTGACAGCATTTCATGCCTGGATGTATAGCATCTTTCCACATGTGATGTGCTGATATCATACAGATACGCGCACATGTACCGGTATACACGCACAGTTTATGTAAATGTATGTGACCATATCTCACAACTGAAAGCTTTGATTTCACACTCTGTAAAAAGATCCAGACCTGGTTTCGTTTTTGTTGCGCTCTACTTCATGTATAACAGAACCTCTCTCTACAATGTATTTCACGGAGATTGCAAGCAGAAAATAATATGAAAATATACAAAACATACATGTAACTGAAGGCCGGTTCATACAATGCGCGCTTCACGCGAATGTGAAGCAAATTTGACATCAGAAACATTTGCTGCGAAATTCGCCAGAGTTTCAAAAGTGTTCAACTTTTATATATTTGCTTTCATGAGGGGTATTAACCAGCCTTGAAGATGCAGAATTTTTGCAACATTATTACATCTGTGAATGCACAAGTTTGTTTCACTGAGAATGAAAATGACATGTTCATACATGTACATGTATGCTGTGAGATTAGCACAATGTTTTCAGGAAAAAAATAAGCACAACTTTTCTGCTTAAGCCCGGCGCACACCTTCCCGATTTTACCGGTTTCCCGGATCACCATATCCCGGTACGTTTTTTCCACCGTTGCAGTTACACCACAACGTTACCCGCACACATGCCCGATTCCGTCCACAAATCGGTCACATGATAATTGCAGGCATGCAACTTTTCCTCGGATCAGCTGATTTCCTCTTTTTTTACTTCCCATGTGTGCCATTGAAAATAGAAAAACCCTGTACAAAGTCTGGGAAAAATGTGAATTTCCTCTTTTTTTGTGATTATCCAGTTGCATGCCTGTAATTGTGAATCTGATTGGTAAACATAAATATCTACGGTCAGATCAGTCCGAATTTTCAGCGCACACTTTTGTACGATGGTAAAATCAGAAAGGTGTGCGCCGGGCTTTACAGTTCAACAACAGTGCCTTGGAATTGCCTCAAGAATCTATGCTTGAGTGAACCAGGTTTGAAAGGGTTTTATAAGACAGTTACATGCTCTCCCCTGTTGTGTAGTGTACTGCATGCACTGGAGCCCAAAAAGTAGGTTAGACAGCTTATCTGTGAAAGCTTGTCTGTGGCAAGACAGCATAGCAGGGATTATCTGTTGAATAAACAGTACCACTTACACCGCGTTCCCACTTGATTTGGAAAAAGGTGGATCAAGATCCGGCATTTTGGTGTGATCGTTATCTTACCGCAACGAAACCGCAAGTCGCGTTCCCACTTATGCTTGATCCACCTTTTCGTACGGAAATGTTGGGTCCGAAAAGTCACTGAGTTCGGAATTACGCGCGCTCTGTGGGAGTGCCATTGTTGCATGGTTGCATGCTAGGCCAGGATGGGTCAGTTTTCAAACAGCACTATCAGAATTCACATACAAAAATTACGCGAATTCACCAACATAAATCACGGATCCGTAGAGGATCCGTGCGTGCATAAATTAAAAGGTAAAATCCAACAGAGCCGCTCACGTGTGACATCACGGCAGAAACCAATGCATCGATAAGGGATTCCCTGGTTCTGAAGCTTCTCATTGGTTAGAAACGGTCACATGATGTACTACGACATCATTTTCCAATTTTCTATAATCAATACTTCAGATTTGTCACCTCCGTACGTACCGCGTTATTGGCACTATTCTCATCGCATACTCGTAAGCTTTTCAATGATCCTGTGCCAAAGTCTTTTGGTGAGTGCGGACTCAGAGTCATTTATGGATGGAAAAATAAGTAAAATTTCAGGAATGAAAAAGGTTTAGTAATGGACGAACACGCAACAAAAATAAGGCCTATATAGTGCAGTTTTAGGATACCACGTGCGCTTTTGCATGCGCGGTGCTAGCCCGTAGTTCAGCGGTTGTTTATTGTGCATGTTGTAAACGCTGGAAATGTTCACATGAGCTACACGCCTGAAAACGTGTTTCTTCGTTCATGAGACCGCAACATTTTCGCGCCACTCGTGCACCGGGCGGATGTTAACAGGTCAAATTGCCGGATCAGATCCACCTTTTGCGTTCCCATCTGATCGTGATCCGGCAATTGCCGGATCTGATCCACCAATTGGGGGATCTGTATCCTGGTCCAGAGGTGGATCAGAAAAGGTGGATCTGATCCTGATCCACCTTATAACGGTTAGCGTTCCCACTACACACAATTGCCGGATCTGATCCACCAATTGGGGGATCGGATCCGGCAATTTGGCAAAAGGTGGATCAGATCCCCCAATTGGTGGATCAAGTGGGAACGGGGTCTTAGTGCCAGACAGTAGACTTGCCAGACAGGACTTGATCTCTTAATTATCTGCTTAGACCAATGTGGTTGAGCTGCTGAGCATGGGAATTTGCTTAACAAATGCTTTTACATACACTGTACTAGTATACAAAAAATGCAGGCAAAATCTCCTGTAAATGTTTCAAGTACATATACGGTACATGGTATATATTTTACATGTATGCCTAGGACTATTAAAGTTTCATGAAATTGGGCCCTTGGGTACGTTCTGTAATCTTGTTAAGTAGCCCCTCCCTACTTGTAAGGTTTTTTAGTACACATGTCACTTACAATCATGTTTTTTTTTGTAGAATATGCATCATGTGCCCTGTACATGCATACAGTGGAATTCAATTGCTATTTTGGAAAGCATACATCATGTTTGAATGGAAAGCTTTGCACAGTATACATGTGCATGTACATGTACTTGTACATACGTGTAAGCATGTACACGGACATGAGTGTAGTACATGTACATGTTCATTTTATTTTAATAAATCGTCTGAAAAAGCAACATGACAAGTTGGGGGAACAACGCTTACAGAGTTTGAAATGATGAATTGGCGTACTGAATGTGCACAAGTTCGAACATGTGCAGCTGCCGGTACTCCCAATGACAGCAACATACCCGAGGCAGTTGCAGTCGCGTGTTTTGCATTTTTACTGTTTAGAGCATAACGAATGCAATCCATACCGAATGCAAGTATATATGCATTGTACTTGCGAGTCACTAAAAGCAAAACAATGTGTGCCACATACATGTACATGTATATTTGAAATGTATCCATTACATAAAAATGTACATTTATAAGGTACATCGATAGGCCTGCTGTGTGTGTTCATGCAATGAATAACATAATAATATGAATATTGATGTTAAAGGGAAAGAACAACATTTGCTTTTGCTGCACTTTTCAGAAATAAATCGATTTGGAGGATTAGTCTGTTAAAGCAAATATTGTTTAAAATGACTTGTTTCACGTTTTGGGCTTGTAGATGCTGGAAAAACCAAGAAAACCATTCATGTTCTTGTAGTCTGGTTCCCTGACCCCATTTAAGATGAAATGGAGAATTTATAGACTTTGGGGAATTGTAAGGTCAGAGAATCAGTCTAGCAGGCTTGTACCCTTTCACAGTTGTGTAATCAATTGCAAAGAAAATGCAGAATAACTAATTATGAAAAAAAGGGAGCAGTTTTTGAAAAAAAGCCAGTTTTCTCCAACGCTGGTTGGCCGACCAGCGTTGGAAAAATACCATTTTTCTTGAAAATGTCAGCACACCAGGAGCCATGATTTTACAGGATGCTTTAGACTGTCACTCCCTAACAATCCAGTATGGTATTTTGTGATAATTTGATCATTTCGTTTTGTGATGTTTGCAAATGTTGTATCTTCCCTTTAAACAAAAATCTTAAAGCAACTTTCAGACTATAAAAGATATGAAAATGACATGTACGTATACATTGTACGTAAATAATAAAAGAGCAATTACAACACAGTGTAAATCATACCTACATGTAAACAAATGTAAATTAATTGTATCAGTAAATTCCTATAAAGTGGAAACATAAAACCTACTTTCCCACTTGTCGTGACGATTGATGGGGCCCATGAAGGATTCACAACTCTAGCACACAAATATGTTTGAAATGATTACCTCCATCAAGCCTTTAATCACAACCAATCACTTCAGACAAGTGCATCTGAAAAAATGTATAAAATCTAAGCCCACCAACAATGTTTGTTGATACTGATAGCCCGGCGCCTGCAATTTTTATTTTTTTTTTAAGATATTCTTCTTCCATCTGTTGCAATTTATGTCTTCAGCATGGGTGAAATCTGAAGCCGAAAATATGCACACCGTATGTCCTCCGGCTCTTATGACAAATTATCATTTAGTTGCATATTTGTACAGGAGGATAATGTCCATCCTCTTGAAGGACTGTATATTTTCATAAAGTGGTATCACTCAGTGCACGGACAGGTCGCACAGGGTCAAAGGTCAACAGTAAGGGCTGCTGTAAACCTGGATACTAGAGAATAATGGCCAGATTTGTGTCACTGTAACATGTTTGACCCATTTGGCACCATAAGAGTCAGAAACTACAAGAGTATCTGAAAAGCATTTTCAATAAACCTTCTGATTTTTGACACACATGGAAAAATTGTAGGAATTTTAAAATTGATCTCCATCTCCATTGGCCCTACCATACCGGTACATGTTTTGAAAGATGCATACACTGTACATGTACTTGTAGTTCAGGTAAAAGACTTTAAAAAAAAAAAGTTTATACACGTACCTGTATACAGCTGTAGACCTTTACATGTGCATTTCAATTTGTACAACATTTCTACAGCAAAACAAATGTCACAGAATCGGCATTTACGATAGTCCATCATTTGTAATTTGTGCATTTTGTTCGTTTGAAGCAACAAAAGTGTTCACAATCTACTGAAGGATACTGAACAACTAACCTGATGAAGTTTCAGCT